GCCCCCGGCTCAAGACTCAAGTGTGGTTTGCGATAAAGAAAATGAATGAGCGGGGGGCTTATTGGCGCGCCCGAGGTTTGTTTGGGCCGAGCCCCCCGCCCCCGGGACACGCCAGGGGAGCACAGTCACAGACGAGGGAATTAGGAAACCTTCTGTGACTTTGCTCTCAAGAGTCAAGCGGGCCGAGGGCCGCGGAGAGAACAATAGAGTGTCATGAGGGGGTCAGAAGGGCCCCGACTTTGTCCCAAACTCCTCTCGCCCCGCGTCATCCGCTAAACTCGGATAAGATTCCTGAAATGTGTGTTAGAAATGCAGCTCGATCTACTGCTCGGGTGCGGGGCGGGGCAGCGGGACCGTCCCGAGCCGTGTGGGGCCGCGAGGGGCCTGGGTCCTGCCGGCAGGATGCATCCCTGTCCCTCATGATTTGGGAGGCATGTCGCCTTCAACGACCGTGGATTATACGGTGTGTGTGCGCGCGGGCGCTCGTGTGTGTGGGTGAGAGAGAGAAAGAGAGTGTCTGTGTGTGTGAGGATCAGTAATTACTCGCAGGAGCGCTTCTTCCTACCGGCCGGCCCGCCCCGGCAATAGGGCCGGTAGAAGCGCACTCACACACACGCACACACACACGCACGCACACACACACACACACGTACGCACACACACACACACACAGCCTTGACTGTGGGAACGTGCCAACCGGCTCAACTTACGCCTACCGATCCATTCATTTGATCATTCATAACGCACGAGAGAGAGAAAGAGGAAGAGAGAGAGGGAATGATGCGTATGCCCGGGCGTATGCAGGGTGGTCCGCCCCGCCCGTGGTCGAACCCCCGCCCCGGCCGTTGCAGAGCGGTGCGCCTGAGTGCTCCTCGTGCTCCTGCGCTGTCGCCGTGCTCCTACCCCGTCGCCACCAAGGCTGTGCGACTGTACCACTGCGCGACATGGCCGAGGTGGTGCTTGCTCTCCACCGCCAAGTACCTCAGCGAGTACCCCCGGGGCAGGCCGCCGCTCCGGGGCCCCCGGGCCGGCCCCTCGCCCGCGGCCCCCGG